ATTATTTGAAGATGATTGGGAAGGGGAGAAGAGACGTTTATGTAATTGGTTGGAGAGCTGAATCCATTGGAGTCGGGTGTTGTAGTCGGAGTCTTCGGGGTTTTATTTGGCACGCTCTGTATGCGAGCCTTGGGTACCTATGATTAAAGATGGAACAGTATTTCAGCTGTTCATAATGAGTTTATTATTGGTATTGTCGAAGAACTGATAGTGGAGTTGCGTAAAAGGTAATTAGCGAGCCGACCGAGTGGGCCGCCGTATACGTCCTATAGCTGTTTACTGATTATAGTATTAACTAAAGAAGTTACCAAAATAACTGTGACGGTGTCCAGAACTGAAGGGAAGCTGCTGTATGTGGCTTGTTGGAGGTATGGTACTTTGAYGAAGAAGTACGTTTTTTAAGTGAGAAAATTGAACTATTATTTTTACACGTATAAGAAGAAAAGAAATAAGGTAACGAAGTACGATGTTTCATTGTCGACTGACGACGCGCAAGTGAATTCGGTACCTACGCATATAAATTCGATAAATTCCGATACCACAGTCCTTGTAAATCCAAATTCAATTCTTCACCAAGGAGCATATAAGCGCGTCTAATATTTTTTTTATTTATAAAATTAATATTAATTAATTAATATAAATTTTGTGTTATCTTTACGAATTTGTGAGATACCAGAAAAAAGCGGAGGGTAGTTTAAAATTTTTAAAAATTATTACTGACATTCGAGTTCGTCGAGTCTCGAAGTAAATGAGTGGTGCCAGTGAAAAAGTAATTTACACTTGATTTCTCAGAATACCAACTAGATTTACTTTACTACTAGAAAGTTGTGGGCTCTGTATTGTTATCATAGAATATGAACGTGATACCCATCTAATATATCATTTGGCGGGTATTTAAAATCCAATCATAAATATAATATTTTAAAAATATATATTGAAAAATGAATTATACATAATATGTCATGTATAATTATATATCATTAATTAAAATGAAATTAAAATATGTTTGGATAAAAAATAAGTGGTGTAAGATTTGATGTATCAAATAACATAAATGACCATGACTATTGTCAAAAAAATAAAAAAGCATTTAATAACTTAATAAATGAAAAAAACCGAGGTCTTCAACTAACATCTGCAGAAAATGTTATCAAAATTGTCAAACTAACTGAACAATACTTTAGGTGTATAATTATTGACAAAAGACAATTACTTATAAAAAATATGGACCAAAAAATAATGGTAATGGTTCAAAACTCACTTGCATTATGTACAAATATAGATACTTGCAGAAACAAATAAATGTTTTGAAGACATTGATGTGCATTCACTTCCACACAAGATAAATATTATTAATCTAGAAATTCGTATGTATTTAAATATTCGTATACACTCTAACATCAAAATTTTAAGTTCTTCTATTCTGAAAGCTTAAATCAACAAAAGACAAAGTTACATAAGTCAATTTTGTTTAATAACTTGTAGTTATACATATTTTGTTCATCGGAAATCGATAAATATTACCTGTGTATTATATTGCTTATACAGGTGTCCTACAGAGATCTGACAAATGAAATAACTTTTGTTCTAATCAATATTTTTAAAAAATTTCTTTTAAATATAATCCATAGACACTTGCACTACATTTTTTATTTTTTAATACTGAAAATAAAAAATTTAAAAATTGATAAACATTTTTTTCGAAATATTCAATTTATCCAATTTGTAAATCTGATTTTTAGAAAAATGTWTATGGTAAAAACACTTATTTAAGTCAAAAGCCTGATTTTTTACAATTTTTTTAAATATCAATATTTTTGTTAAGTAAATTACGGTCTAGTTTATGTTAGAAA